GACGCTGTAGCGCGACGCTGTAGCGCGACGCTGTAGCGCGACGCTGTAGCGCGACGCTGTAGCGCGACGCTGTAGCGCTACAAGTATGAACGCTGCCTTATGGAGAGCGCCTGGCGAAGCCAGGCCAGCTCGGCGAAGCCGAGCTAAAGAGAAGGAGGAGAGCTCGGCGTCAGCCGGGCGATCCGACTGGTAAACAATAAGCTAATATGTTGCAATAGTATCCCGTAGTATCCCGCCTCCAGGTTCCTGAAGTGTCACTCAAAATCGCTGCTACCAGTGTGTGCTGCTGATTCTTGTAATTTATACTATATTCGTTGAAAACACTCTTGACCAAACCAGAAGGCACGTTTATATCATGAACGCCCGATGAAAACGTCTAAGTCAGTGAAACCTGCATTAATCGTAAGCTTGAGACCAAACTTCAGTACGTGGGTTTGTGAAGACCTCCTCGGAAAAGGCTCATGGCGCACTATGGTGCCGAATAGTAACAAAGGTATCAAAGGGGAAGAAAACTACGATATTTCTGATCAGTGCTGAACAGTTGATGGCATCTATGAAATACTTAAGATGGTTATCCACACCAATCTTGAAAGAGCAAAGCCGCTTGCATAGTAACGCACCTGCGGCAGGAGAGCTCGCTTCAAGTAGACAATCACTTGATTGGTCATTTGATAAGTTTTAGTGAGTAACACTAAACCTTCACTCTTTAAACTCATCCACTCCAATATTTGACGTTCCCATGTGACTGCAGTTCCTCCAACAACAGTTTCGCCATGAGAGACCTCCTGCAATATATTGAAGTCTACAAAGTTACCTTGCGAAAACTGTGTATTAGTTTTCGCAGTTGGTCATCAACTGCAAATACGAAACGTGAAGCTTACTGAGGACACCGAACATTTAAGCGTATTTTTCGCCTAAGGGCTCTTTGAGTCTCCGCTGCGTTGCTAGAAATGCAGCCTCCCAAAAATCGAAACTTTAAACAGCCACAGCATATTTCAAAGCACGAATGTGCCCATAAACTTCCTCCTTGGTGTCGACTTAAGAGTCAGTTGGTTAAGATTTCCGAAACCAACACGAACACAATCAAATAGACATCAAACCTGCATCCCAATCACCAGTAAGCTCGGCTTGACTGCAATACATGGTGCAAGAAGTTTTTCAATGTCATCATCGTCGCCACGCTGCATGTTCACGTTATAAGTGATAATCGCTACTCGCCAATCCATCTGGGACCACTTCATAGGTTCATAGGGACTATCTAACAATGCCTAGCACCTTCAGCGTATATAGTAATGTGACATCCAACACGTTTATACTGACACAAAATTCATTCCAAAACTTTAATTGTAGTCCATGTATGAAGCGAAAAACAGGGTGAGTTAATATCAGCAAGCTATTTACAAGCATAAATAAACGATGGAACACATATTTTATCCAAGTTCCAATATAGAAAAAGATACGATAAAATAAGGCGTTACTTTCGCAATTATCTAATAACACTGATACAACTGTGGAAAACGGATACAATCATTGTTAGAAGTAAAACGACAACCAAAACAACTATCTGAATATTAACTGATAGTGGAACTAGAAAGGCTTGACATACATGTCGAAGAGTGATGAAAACAACGGCATTGAGAGGTGAAAGTATCAGAATATTCTTATGCGGTCATTTCTCAGGTCATTCTACTGCGCCACAAATACTGCGAGTGAACAGCTCTTTTACGATGTTGCGAGAAACTATCCAGAAAAAGGAAATCCTAAACTGAGTACTACATACTATACTCACAGGCTATATTTATAATGCGTAGCATGCTAGTAATAACTAATTCGCTTGAAAGCAGAAAGAGCTATAAATGACCGCATAAGGATGTCTGGAAATCCTTGCACCCGAAAGTGGGAGCTCTGATAAAACGAAAACCTGCGTAAAACAAATGCAAGTAACTACACTTTTATTAATTCCAGCTCATTAAAACCAAAACGTTTCTCTACTTTCATGAGACTGTGCGTAGGAATGGAAGCTATCATTGAAACGGTCTTAACTATGCATATAAATACAATTTATCACATTACTTGCATGACGAGTTGCTTTGCAAATTCTTTAGAAGCGATGAATAAAGCTCGAGCCATAAGGAAACAAAAAAGCAAAAACTAGATTATGACCTGGCTCGAACTTTTATGGAAGACGTTCATGTATGACAAACTTCAAACATCATAGGACCCGACTAACATATCACTATTGTTTGGTGCTTACACAACGTCGTACTCTCTTCCGAGCAGGTCCCTTGCTTGAACTGTTCATGCTTTCTTCATCCATATCTCCAGAAGCTGACAGAACTGCTTCCAGCAGCTCATTCGCCAATTCGTAGCGATCCTGAAAAACCACTCCATCATATAAACAAATCACGTAGTATGACCATTTGACGGCTTCTCGGTCTGTAATTTACATGCTTTTTTGTCCGCCCTTTCTCATTTCGCCCACGTCATAGCAGAGAACGACCGTCAACGAAAAACTGTTCACTGTTACGGTACCAATTCAGCGTGTTTCTTTGATTGTGGTCTTTTGCAACGGGCATGTCAGACATACCTTTTGTCGTTGTTGTTCTTGAAGGTAAATGGCACGACAAATTTCCAAGAGTTTAGGATTAATACGCCTTAGTAGGACAGTATTCGCTCCTGAGCAGGCGCCAAATCCTTCATTAAGTAAGATGCTCTTACAGCGCCTTCTCGAACCGCAACGCACCGACCCGGATGCCCACAGCGCCCGCCCGCCCACAAGTGTCCGACCGATGCTAATGCTCGCACCGCTACATTTTCCGAAAGCGAAGGGATTGATAGAAGTAGCTGCGATGTTGCATGAAGCCAGGAGAGAGAATAGAGTGTGGTTTAATTTGGATGTGAAAGTGAGGGTTAATATTGAATGCGTGAAAAGTGACGTGGAATTGTGTTGCGGAAAAAGTGTGATTGGTTCGGAAAAGGGTGAATTTAGAGTGAAAATGGTATATATAACCCTTTCTCTATGTGCTCTTTTTCCTCTGGAATGCACAAACTTTTTCGGCTTTTTCGCATCTCGCATTACATCTGTGTTGTGGATGTACATTCAGTTTCTGAGAAGTGAAAGAACCCTCGGCTCTGTAGTATTCTGTCATCTTTTATATGAACTACATGCGGGAAGGGTTCTTGTGTTGAAGGACAGTTCCCCGCGATCATAGTGGGGACCCACGAGTAGACTCGTGCATTTGCACTTTGCACCGTTGCCCGCTCTCGCAAACGACTGTACGTTTTGCCGTTGCAAAGGCGAGAGCAGCGCGAAGCAGCTAAGAGCGGTGTGAGGATTTGCAACGCATTGCACCCACGATTACATTCACACTGGGCAAGACGACTGGTGTGTAGCATAACGTGCTTGCGAGAGGAGCATGCGTCAGGGGCCATTTCCTATGCTCTTGCCGGGAATTCGGTTGCACGTTGAATCCTGCTGATTGGGCTTGTCTGACATCCGTCAAACTCCTCCAAGGCGTCAGCCCTTCGCTGGAGGAGGAAGGTCTCCCTTCCGGTATTCCCAATGTGTTTTTTTTTCGCTTCTTTCGTTAATGAGGAGTTTCTTATAGGCTGCTGGCTCATGACTGAGCGCCTCCTACCCCTAACACTTGATCGCGGGAATTGTCTTTAAGGACAAAAAGCATGATAATTTCTTATGCGGTCTAAAATGGTAGCAGGTATGCTGAAAAGTGGAAAAATCTCGAAAAGCGAAGTTAAACGGTCAAAGCCTGCGAAAAAGCCTTTTTATGCGAGACTCAGTAGTTTCGGAGGAGTTTCCCATTGGCGTTGTGGCAGTACCGCTGCTGTAGATGAATAACCGCTACTGCATGTATTGTATGTAATCATATA